GCCTCTGACCCGTGGGGCACCTGCTAGCCCTGACAGGCAGCACTCTCCCACTGTGCTCACACAAGCTGATACCAATTACTTCTTCCTGCTCTTGAAGAAAACTCGTAGTCGTACAAGTCATCCCACATGCACTTCCCAATTATTTTTTCCATAACATTTAGGAATGAGAGTTTTCCATATTTAAATAACTACAACAACTACTTCCAAGGGAAAAATGGATTAAGTTACTTTCCCAGTTCTTTTAAGAGTTAGAGTAACTATGGCCTGAATTTGCTTATTCAGCTGTAAGAGATCTGTGGTAGAATTGTGTGTAATACTGCATTTCACATTCAATTCAGCTGGCATTTTCTTACCTTAGAGTCTTTTTTGTGGCCTCCTGCTAGCAGCTTCATGACCACAATATTGGGTTTAGCAACTTTTAGAATTCGATTCACCTAAACACAAAACAGCAAGAAGTTTTCAAGTGAAAGCATATGACCTCAAAATTATTTAAAAAGATAATACCCAAATGCTTACATACTCTTAACAATATAGCAGTCCTCTTACAGTATCAGTTTAATAGAGATCAGGGCATTTTGGTTGCTTTGAAGTATAACAGCTGCATTAATGAAATTTAATGAAGGGGGCATTTATTTTAGTAGTCATTTTTTTATTCAACAGACCACGGAAACCACTGCTCTCCATGCTTATGTTCAAAAATTGTTAAACTATAGCAAGTTCTGAGGCGCTTATCCAAATAAAGGCTTAGACAGACTCTAGCTATCTATGCCCAACACTGTGACATGATGAGAAGGCAAAAAGGTGGCTTTTTGCATGGACATGGTCTGAGCACACTCAAACGACCTCCAAGTATTTTGGTTAGCTTCAATCAGATAGCTCATGCGTGAGTACCACCAGGATCCAGAGAACGGGCAGGGATTCCTAAATCCTCAGGAAAACCTGATCGCGTAACTGTTCTTAACCTGCTCACATGCAACAGAATAAGCATCCTCCTTGCTCCAAAATACAGTCACAGACACTTAGTTTTTAGGCTATGGACAAAGGAGAAACTCCTACCCATGTTTACAGCCCAGTGCTGAGAAAACTGCTCCAAGAAACAAGTGCCAGACTCAATCCTCTTTTCAGCCGGATGACATTCAAACCTTTTTTTCCCACCTCTCAGGAGTACACATGAATTACCAGGTTCCAGGCAAGTGAGGCAGGCATGTGCCACCTTCTTGTTAAAACTGATACGCTTTTAGAACGGGGCCAGAAGGCAACACGCAAGAAGGAACTAAGTTGCTATCTCAGCAGGGGGAAGTTTTGAAACTGTGAGCACAACCCCGATTACATTATCTTATGTACTGAAACAAACCACTGTGTTAAGATGCCGCCACCCTCCTCTGTCCACTCCTTAATCAAAGCACTAAGCTTTGCTCAGCATTCTGACAAAGTATGCTCAACAGATCCAGCTGAAAACAAAACACTCTTATAAGCAAATACTTCTTCTTCCAGTATTGCAGTCTTACCTCATTGTCTGGATTAGGAATATTCTCAAGTATCATTTTAGCTTGCTGGAAGTGTTTGCTAGCTGCCATGTAGAGATCTGATGACTGAGGAGGTGGGCTGTACTTATTTAAATCAGACATTTCCTAGCGTGTTACAGAAATGTATAAATATATATTAAAATCAGTTGCCAACAAACTGTATTTTCATTACCTTAAATGAAAACAAGTTACTATATTAAAGAAAAAGTTATGGAATCACAGAATGGTTTGGGTTAGAAGGGACCTCAAAGATCATCTAGTTCCAACCCCCCTGCCATGAGCAGGGACACCCTCCACTAGACCAGTTTGCCCAAAAATAAGTAATATTTTAAGCGTGAATACTGAAGTTGAAAACATTTATTTAAAATGGCAAATACCAAGCAGGAATATGGTGCTTAACGATTATTTTACAGTGCCAAAATGCAAAGAACTTCTCTCACTCTTTATAAAACAATCCCTCTTCTGAACAACTTGTCATTCATTTGCTTGAATAGTGTAATTTCACACCCTGCTGCACAACAGAAAAACATCTGAGGGAAAAAAGAAAAAAAAAAAGGATATGATATTGTTTGCTTAAGTTTATAGCAAGTGAGATACTGGAACTTCATTTTATCTAACTTCGATACTCCACCTTTTTTTTTTTTAAATTAGAGATAAAATAACTTCAATGACAAGGAAGAATCCATGATAGTCTTAATTTCCACTACCACTGTTCATAACACTAAATTAGGGAGAGTGACTGGCATACAAAATAGTACAGTTTCAGTTCAGACAGACCTTTAGAAACTTAGATTTCTGGTGGCCAGACTTTTAAGTTCAACAAGAAATGTCCAAATTTCGGCACCTGAGGCCAGCCCAAATCACAAATCACAAGAGGCTAATAACCAGTTGGATGAGCAGCAGGGTGACGGTGAAGACCAAGCTGAATACAAGCCAAGGTGCTCTTATTGCAAATCAGACAAGCCTCATATGGGATTATACAAGCAGGAGTATGGCCAGCAGATCAAGGAAGGTTATCATCCTATACTCAGTATTTGTGCTGTAACATCTGAATTATTGCATCCAGTGTTGGATACACTCAGTTCAAGAAAGATGCTGAGACAGGGACGTGGCTGTGGGCCTAGAGCACACAAACCATAAGCAGAGGTCAATGCACCTGGACTTTTTCAGTTAGACAAAAAGGATGCTAATGGGTAACCTGAATAGCAGCCTACAACTACTTGAAAACTACTTGAGAGGCAGTTACAAAGTTGTCAGCAGACAAATGCTCCTTGTTAATGGCAGACTATGTAATGGGTGGAGAGGCCATAAATTGTGTCTTGGGTAATTCACACCAGGCATTAGGAAAAAAGGTGGATAGTGCAGCCCTCAATCAGGTTATCCAAAGACTAAATGGTCTAGAAAAGGTAAGTGGATCAGGTTAACCAGAGAGGTTGGAAAATCTCCATCCTTTGATTTTGTCAGACTTGGCTAGACAAAGACACCATTGATGTGATCTGTAACGCTACTTCAAGGAGGAGACTGGACAAGACAAACCTCAACTGGTCCCTTCCAACCAACACTTCTGTGATTTCACACTCAAAATGACTTGTTCTGTTTTTCCTGTTTGCTTGCTTCAGTAATAAAAACATGCTGCTATATAAACCACAGCCCAAAACCTCTGTCAATAGACTTCAAAGAGATTTTATTTTCATGCAAACTGACACAAGCATCTCGTAAACCACCACATCAGACCAATTTTTAAACATCTAAGAGTCTAATTTTAGTAAGAATTCAAAGCAATATATTTTCCTTGCACACAACTAAAGCTAGAACTCCTTGCTATTTTGACTTATGCTTCAGTATGAACTTTGAGATATTAATTTCTCTTTTTACAATGACAACGTCTAAAGCAGGCGAGCTAATGACTTTTATAAAGGCATGAGTGGCATCATGTTTTAAGATTACTCACCTTAAACTGCAAGTAGTGCACCGGGGGTGGTGTGATAACACTGTTGAAGGGAGCAAACCTGTGCTCATATCGAACTTGTTCACTATCCAGTTCAAACTTCGGTTTTCTTACTTTGCCATCCATGTCAAATGCGATCATTGTCTAAAAAAGGAAAAGATAAATATAGTGAAAAGTGTTAGCTTTATGTCATATTTTGCTGTGAGCAAGATGAAAGTTATGATTTAGCTGTAACTGGAAGGACAGAAAAAAAGTAGAGTTTACCATATCACCCTATAAATTTAATTTCCAGTCCCATTAAAACAAAGAAGGCATGCAATGTATGTTTGATTACTATTACAAAAAAAATGAACCCATTGTTCAGCAAGCACAAATAAATTACCTTGTACATCCCAGCACACATATTTTGGTATGCTTGACTCATGGTGATCTCTCTGCTGAGAGGGCGAACTGCAAGTTTCACATAAAAATATTTTTTTTATTCAGTGTAAATACACATATTCATTTCAGATCAAAACAGATCAAAAATTCTCAATTATATTTTAAAATCATGAAAGAAAACTGAAGCATCAGTTACTCTGGTACATGAAGGGGGCCTACAGGAAAGATGGAGAAGGACTGTTTATCAGGGAGTGTAGTGACAGGACAAGGGGTAATGGGTTTAAGCTGAAGGAGGGTAGGTTTAGGTTAGATGTTAGAAAGAAATTCTTCACAGTGAGGGTGGTGAGGCACTGGAACAGGTTGCCCAGAGAGGTTGTGGATGCCCCATCCCTGGAAGTGTTCAAGGCCAGGTTGGATGAGGCTTTGGGCAGCCTGGTCTAGTGGAGGGTGTCCCTGCCCATGGCAGGGGGGTTAGAACTAGATAATCTTTGAGGTTCCTTCCAACCTAAACCATTCTATGATCCTATAAAAAGCATGGGCATGCATTTCTGCTCACCTGGCTCCTGATTACACAACATATCTCAAGACATACTTAACAATCACATGAACACCTTACTGCTGTCAATTAAATAAACTGGTCCAGTCAATGGTACTAGCATGTGTCTATACAATATTAAACAATAGTCTAGAATCTAAAGCTTGTAGTTGTGCGGCCTGTTCGCTTAGTTACGGATTTTTTGAAAAGTTTTAAGACCAAGAGATTAAAGCATTTCTATCCTAATAAGAAAGATTTTTATCCTGAAAATATTCCTTTAAGCTCCCCTTTAGCTTCCAGTGTTTAACTAATGCCAAATTGCGCCACACTTGGCACCTTTTTAAAAAGTATAGAATACAGTAATAACTTTCTGAATTTCTAGAGAGACAAGGGAATTTATCTGATATGACTTTGAGCTGTTCATATCTGTTTGTTCTCTTTGAAAAGAAGACAAGGATAAACACACAAAAGCTAAAACATAATTCTGCAGGAATTATAAATGTAGAAATGTTGTATTTTTCAAAGGTAATTGCTTTGGACTTGTTAATTACATCTCATAAGATCCTACAAATGACACAACTGGTGAAGCTGTGAATATAAATGAGTTTGGGTTTTTCTGGAAGACCTATTTAAAAGTAAGTAAATAAATAAATGGGAAATTCTTACACACAGCGACTGACTTTTTTAGTTAAAAAGTTTTACGTTCAGTCTTCATAAACTTTGGAACATTCTTCCTGCCTACATCAGTGTTGGCTGTATAAATTTTGAATTCTACATGGCTGCATGAAGGGGAAAAAAAATAATGTCCAAGTTACACTCTACACCTAGGTACCTTTTTTCTTTTTCTTTGTTTTCTTACTACTACGGCCTTTCTGTTGTTCCTCCACTATTCTCTCCTCCGCCATTTGAGAGCTGTCGGCGCGGCTCAGTGTTGACATCAACCAGGCATAGAGGAACTCTGACAGATACCTAGAGTAAAAACAGCTGTTACATACTACAATGATAAACGTATTCATAACGCACACATCCTCACTGAATGCAGAGTCGTTTACTCAAAGAACTAATAGTAAAGGACAACTTTTAGGGCAGTTAAAACTCTTTGTTTTGTATGGCTGGAATCAACAGATTAGTCTGTGTTCTGCGGTGGTTTTTTTTAAACAAGACTCTGGCTCAGTCTCTGAGCCACAGACAGCTGAAGGTAGGCAAGTTTCTTACACATTTACTAAGTGAAGTCTAAGCTGCTTATTATTTCAAAACCTCTTTAAGATCACTTTTTTCTAGAATTCTTCTTTCCCTCAGTAAATGAAGTGCTTTTAAAAAAAGATACTATGTTGATATCTTTTCTACTTTTGTTAATAATTACTGTTTTGAGAAACAAGGTTATTACTGATTTGTTTAAAGTATTAAAAAGTCACGAATTATTAAATAAAAGGGCCAGCCCACAGGAACATGAGATTCACATACAATTCTTTTAAGAGAAATCTTTAAGAATTCTGTAAGAGTGATTTCTTAGTAAGTGGGAGCGGGTCCAATAAATCTCTTGACTGACTTCAAATCAAAAGGAATAGGGAAAAAGAGAGTAGAAATTACAGATCTGGAGCACATGAAGGAGAAATGATGCTTCGCAAGAAGTCATAATTCAGAATAAAAATTACTGAGAAATAATTATGAGTTTCATTTGCACATTTCCCCTCAGAAATTTCCTCTCTTTTTTGTTCTTCACTTACAGTAAGGAGATAAAGCAGTTGAGGTGACAGTTCCAATTAAGAATGATTTTATTAAAGTGGTGGGGAGAAATATGGGCAGGTAAAAAGCCACCGTCTTACAGAAAACTTGGTACTACTTATTGAGGTATTATTTAAAGAACATTGCCATCTTCTGGTAACTATCTGGAGTATTAATTTTCTCATTTAATGCTTAATCCACTAATGAAACAGCACAGAAACATAATGACATGGACTAAAGTTCCAGTCATTTGAATTTGTCTAATCTCTCAGAAAGACAGCTTACATCATACCTAGTAAGAGTTTACTGGTAGCTTTACAGAAAGAACAACATACCAAAGTACAGAAGCACTTTAACATAGGAAAGTTCAACATCAAATTTATAATGCTGAATCAAAAATGAACCATGTAAAATCATTCATCTTTTGGACCAAGCCATCAACTATGAAAAAAATTAATGTGAATGGAAGTGGAAAAATGAAAAGTATTTTGACTCCATATAGTGCAAACATTTTCACTGGAGGCAGATGTCTCTTCAAATATGCTCACACAATAAGATGTCATTTTTACCTAATCACCTTTCAGATTACAGTCACAACTTAAAACTCTGGAGATCTTTTTAAAAATACTAGGGATCAACTATTAGTATTGGTACTACAAAGACAGAAAAGAATAAAGGAAAATGTTTTCCTCCTGCACTCTCTTGTCTGCCAAAATCAACGTATTTTCCATTCATTGTCATTAGAAGACACTGTTTTCAACAGTTAAATAGAAAGCAAATTACTACTTCAGGGAAAAAAAACACAACACACTACTAAGTCTAAAAAAAAGACCAACACAATTTTTTTTCTCCATTTGTAATCTTACGAATGGGTAAACACTGTGTTGATCAAGCTTGAGATTAAAAAAATCATAATTGAAGTCCCTCCTTTAAATATTTGCAATTATAGCTCTGTGGGAGCATCCCTCCTCCAACAGCTCCAAGCATCCTCTTACCAATATATGTAGTAATATTCATGCATACTGTAAAGTTCCAACTCAAAGCCACTCAGAAGATACTGTATCATAATGCGAAGGTTATGATATAGGACCCAGGTGCCCAAGCAGGCCAAATGTTGCCTTTGTGGTTCCTGCTTCAGTAACATACTATGAAGTGCTGCATCTACTTTCTCTGCCTATTGAAAAAAAGAGCAAAGTAACAGACAAAGGAGGAAGAACATTTGACTGAAACAGCATCCAAATTCTGCCAGAAATAAAATCTTAACAAAATCTGAATACAAATTGAGTCAGTAAAGCCATGCTCCAGATTAAAAGACAGAAATATATTTTTACAGATATTGCCACCTCTATACTCTAGAACTGTCAGAAAAATGAAAAATTATTCACACAAGTAAATTCTGCTGCACAGAGAAAAAAATATTCTATACAGTGACACAAAAATAACATTAGGGTTTTTTTTAATTTAAAATTTTAAAAAGTTTTTATAAACAGATTTTTAGCAGTCACTGAAGCTCAGAACCCATTACAAGCTGTTACTCATTTTGCTATATGGGCAATCATTGCTTTTTTTTTTTAAACCTAGCTGCATTGATAAATTAAATTTATAAGCTTAATATGCAAGAAACACACTGTGGCCCATCACAGAAACTAAAATATCGCTAAGAACAATTCAGTCTTAAAAAGTAATTGTATGGAAGACATGAAGTCTCCCACATTATTATCAGTAGTCCTGAACAAATCAATCCATATAATCTGTTACTCGGTGAAAAAACAGTGTATCTCAGCTGCAGTACTGTGATGAACTCTCAACCAAACCATCTTGAAAAAAGCTGGAGGACACAAAATCTCTCCCTGCCCCCTGCCAAATTCCTTGACTGTTCTCCTTAGCACACAGATCTTGGAAAATATTTTATTACTACATGCCTCTCACTGCTGAAGAAACACATTTCCAGCAAGTGAAAAGGTACCTTTCCCTGTCACCTTTCACTCCCCATTCTTGAAAAACGTTCAAAATCAGTTGGAGCACATATTTTTAAGAGTTATTATTTAATTTACATGTATTTTAAAAAATTGTTATAAAATTTTGCAATTTAAATCTCACATAGCTACAAAACTGAATTTTCAAAGCTTTCTTGTAAATATGGCTCATCCATCTCTTCCTGGTTACATCTTGCAGACTGACAGTTCCAAGGAGGATAGAGACTACAAGCAGTGGAATTAAATTACAGACATCACAGCAGGTTTCCCTGAAGTCTACTTATTGGACAAAGTTAATCTTAAAAAATGTAATACCTTTTTGTTTAATAGATCTAACAAAGTCTTTAGATGCATCCTACAAACTTCCTGGGCTGCATTTTAGGAAACCTTGTCCTAAAGATTTTAGGACAAACAGAGGAGTTGCTTCATTCACCTAGAATCTAATACCACAGGCTCCTCTGGTAGGAATATACCTGGAAAGAAAAGTTTGCTGGCCTGCCGTCTAGGACATTACCTCATCCTGGAGGGTGGCAAATTCCTCAAGGATGTGACCCAGTTTATCTCTCTGACGAGCTCTATTGTGTCCATGGATTTGAATCAGACTACAGAATGGCTGAAAGAAACAAATTGTAGTTTTAAATTTTGAACACAAGTTTGAAACTACAGGAGTACAATGATGTCTACTTAGGCATCTGTTTTATACATCTATATTAGAAGGTTGGTTCCTTAAGGTTCCCTACAGGGTGCCAGCTTGCAGGCAAGCAAGCTCTCTGGAGTGATGCAAGAGCCCATTTCTCTGTACCCAAATCAACATGAGATTGAGCGAGCATCCTTTAGCAATCTGATCAGAACAGAATGGTTGGGGTAAGAGAGGCATTTCTTATGCCTAAATCCATGTGCCCAGGTGGCCAAGAAAGCCAACAGCATCCTGGCTTGTATCAGAAACAGTGTGGCCAGCAGGACTGGGGAAGTGATCATCCCCCTGTACTCAGTGCAGGTGAGGCTGCACCTCAAGTACTGTGTTCAGTTTTGGGCCCCTCACTACAAGAAGGACGTTGAGGTGTTGGAGTGTGTCCAAAGCAGGGCAACGAAGCTGGTGAAGGGTCTAGTAGCAGAGTCTTATGAGGAGCGGCTGAGGGAACTGGGGTTGTTTAGCCTGGAGAAAAGGAGGCTGAGGGGAGACCTTCTCACTCCCTACAACTACCTGAAAGGAGGTTATAGCCAGGTGGGTGTAGGTCTCTTCTCCCAATTAACAAGTGATAGGACAAGAGGAAATGGCCTCAAGCTGCACCAGGGGAGGTTTAGATTGAATATTAGCAAAAAAATTCTTCACCAAAATGGTTATTAAGCACTGGAACAGGCTGCCCAGGGAAGTGGTTGAGTCACCATCCCTGGAGGTATTTAAAAGATGTGTAGATGTGGTGCTTAGGGACATGGTCTAGTGGTGGATTTGTCAGTGCTAGGTTAATGGTTGGACTTGATGATCTGAAGGATTATTTCCAACCAAAATGATGGCATTCTATGTTCTTCTTAGCATTGTGGCACATTCAATAACTGACTTTCAAAACAATTTTTATAATTATTAAAATAGAGAGAATGTAAAAATAATTTTTACTAGTGCCGTGTATCTGTTTTGTGACATGAAACTACCCTGTAAAGGGGGAGTGGGTGCAGATTTCTAATGAAGTGAAATACTAGTGAAAAATCTGGAAGCATAATACAGTAAACAAACACCAATAATTATACTGGCTTTTTAAAAAGTGTTACCATTTTTAAGATGGCCAACTTCTGCAATTTTGCCTTAATGCCAGTTGTCTAAAAACACCTGGTCTCATTTTCAAATGTAAGCAAATCTTTAAAGTGCTAATATACTCATAAACATGCTGTAATTGCAATGAACACTTACCCGAACACAATGTGTCACAAAGGAATCAATGTAGTCCTTCGCCTGGTGATTATTATAAAGACAACACCTAAAAGGGAAATGTCCACATACATACACGTTTATAAATGTCACAAGTCTATGTAGCGCAAAATTTAGAAAGAAACATGACTGTAGCAACAACAACTGACTTCTTCATACAAAAGCACTAAGAAATACAAAATGTATATGTTCTTTACATGTCTATCCTTATTCTTGCAAGCAGAAATATTTTTTCATCAGATATCGAAACATGTGCAAGTAGCTCAAGATCCACTTACTTTGGAGAAAGTACTGGAGGACTGACAAAAGACCTTAAAGCATCTTTTACCATGTCTTGCATGAGGTGAGTGCCAAACACCTTCTTGTTATCTACCAGAAAAGTTGTCTGAAAGTGAAAATGTGTTTTTAGAAACATGTTTTAAGTTAAAATTAATGCTTTGGAAATTACTAATAGAAAGCTCTTACAGTATGTGTATTACATCAGAAACTTGTAAGATTGCTTTAAGAATTAAAGTGGTTCAGCTAGGTACAAGATTACAGACTCAGAAGTAGAGGCATATTGAGATCTGTCACTTCTGGGATGTTCCCATGACACAAAATACAGCTCTGTTACTTGCATAAGAGAACGACTTTATTTCCTCAACTTTAAAGATGATTAATCAGACAGATGTTTCTGAAGATTAACATAAAAAACTTTATGCGGTTTCCCTGGAGGCAGATAAAGGTGAACCTTCAGACTAATGCAGACTTTTTTCTACTCCTATAGATACTACTGCTTTCGTTGGTCATGCCTGAATGCTCATTTCACCTTCCTCCACGAGCGCTGTGTCCCTTTCTTCAGCTGGTTCTTCCGCTCTGCTGTCAGGCACCCACAGGGATTGCACAAACACATGTAGTGGAAAGTTGGAACACACGCACTACGAAAACTTTTCACTTGCCAAGAGTTATATTACTTTGGCTCTATACGTGATTTAATTAGGATCAAATGGAAAGAAGTTCTAACATCCAAGGACACCTTATTTGAATCAAAATCTCCTATAAGGAAGTACATTTTATTCTTAGTTAAAGAATATGTAATATACTTTCAAGGTAAGTGAAGCAGTGAAAGAAAATTAGTAGCCTGTTCTGCCCTAGCCATCAGTTTTACTGTTGTAGCAATAGAGGCAGTCTATACATGAAATTCAGACCAAACAAGGTGGATGAATACAAATACCAGCCCCAAACTGAAATAGCACATGGAGAACAGCATAAAAATGTGTGTACAGGCCCAGTTTTATGGCAGAGAAGAAATTTTAACACTTTATGTTTTAATTAGCATGCACTACCATGATCTCAGCAACATGATCTCAACAGTATTTAAAAATGTTTTAAGAAATTATATCAGAACATGAGCCTCCATATACCTAATACTTAAGTATCTCCAGAAAATTTATCACTTCTTTATTAAAAAGTGATATGCAAATAATTTAAATATTTGAAACAAGAAGATGAATCCATACTTATAATGAATGCAGAAGTATTTTATTCAAAGACATAGATTAGGACTTGCCTGTAGTAGGGATCTTGAAAGAACACATGGTGATTGCTCACTAAACTCACAGAAAAAATCCTAATTTACATTTAGGAAAAAAAAGATAATTCAGGTTAATATACCAATTTTTACATATATACACACACATTTATGTTTTTATACACATGCACATACATTTCCATTTTTATATATATGCCATTGTGTAAATAAACCTATATTTTGTATACACAGACATACACGTAGCATAGCTTATACAAATTGTAAGAAAGTAAGCATGAATAATTTGAACAAACGAGAACATATTACGAAGCTAAAATTAATTTTTTTCTGTAAATACTTGTTATTTAAGGGAACAAAAGGTTTCTGAATTTTCTTCTTCAAATGCAATAATTAGAAGGATGATAGTATATTAAAAAGATACTGTGAAACTGTTAAGGTCACAACATAACTGAACCAGGTACGTAACAAAACTGCAATGTTTAACTGGTACCAGATGCTTCATGCAAACACTGCTTTAATTAATTAAACAGGCAACAGGAAGACAAAAGATTTTTGCTTGATCTGATGTAACTGTGGCTCTTTTCTCAGTCAGTGAATGCGTGTACGGTAAAAAGTGTTTGAAGCATTTCTTCTAATAACTGTAGGCAGTAACTGAGAATAACATCACTTATTCAGAAAAGAACGTAAGCAGATGCTTAACAGCAAATTTTGAAATTGCATGCAACAATAGGAAACACCAAGAGATTTAAACATACAGCTCATTTTTTTCCTCCAGTTAGCAACAGCATATATATACAGAATGATTTTTTGCAAGTTACATTTTAAGATCTTATGTTTGGCTATAAATAATAAATATTCATGCTTACCAGTATACAGTGCAAATTAGTTAAGTTGACTACTTCACATACAGTTTTTATTCGGTCTATTAGTTTGGAAAAATAATTGACCATTTCTTCCCTTTTAATTATTTTTGCATATCGAGGGAAAGTTGGTGGCAGCAATCTCTGATTAACAAGGGGCTCAAAGCCCATCATAATAGGATGATCTGATGAAGGAGTGGGGGGGAGAAAGAAAAAGAGAGAGTGAGCGAGAGAGAGAAAGAGAGAGAGAAAAGCTGCATATAAGCCGTGTTTTCAGAACTCACTTCAAACTTGAAAGTATAATACAAATTATTCAATTAGCCAAAATAAACTTTTTAACTGACAATTACTTCCAGAGACACTAACTGCTCAACTGAGACAATGATTACTATTTAAAAAACCCCAACCCCCAACACCTCAGCATATACTTGTATAGACAGTGAGGTGGTGTTCCCTGTTTTAAAGTTGCATATACAATGGTTCGAAGTGCAATGCACTTAACTGAAAGTTCATATTATCTCTGGCTTTGAAGTGACAGTTTTGCTTTCAGGAGAACCATCATTTAATGAAATAAAATTAAGATCAAACACTGCAAATCTGTAACAGTTTGAATATTATTAGTTCAAAGTAAATAGTGGGGTTTTTTCAAATACACATAGATATTAAAGTTTATCAAGGCAGCATATTTAAGAAAGGAAAGAAATACCTCCTTTAGTGGTATCATTCTGTGCCTGGATACCATGATGCAATGAATTGTGGATAGCAGAAAGCAAGTCAGCTGCCTGAGTCATTAGTTTCTGAGCTTCTGCAACTGCACTCGTCTGAAAGGCAGGTAACAGTTATTCACATTATGAACCAACATATTTTGACCACAGAATTAATGCTAATATCAGCAAAAAGAACATTACGATTCTAATGTCTGAACACGACCAGTTTGAAAAAAAAACAAAAAAACCCAAACAACAAAACAATAGCTTTCTGTGCAATAAAGCGTTATGTTTTACATATCTATACATACATTTAGTATTGTATTTTTTGCAGTATAAGATAAGCCTTAACATAATTACAACTGAAAGTCTAGTACACACTACATGCAAGTCCTCTACATTTGATTTTGAAGAACAAAACTCTTCTGTCAAGTGAAGCAGAACCCCAAACTGCAAAGAGGAAAAGAAAAAAATCTCCTATTATTAGAAAATGCAGAATTTTTGATAATATAGACAAAATACAACGTATCAACTGAAATGAAATCACTGCATAACATTAGAAGATAGCAGATGTCCATTAGAAATCTTGATTCATGATCTGCTGACGAGCTGAATTTTCTCATGACACTTAGCAAACTGGGTAGCATTTCAAATAGCTCCCCGTAAAATCTAAAATCTTGTTTTAAAAACACTGGAATAACAGTCCCTGACAGAACTTCAAATATTTGAAACCTAAAGTCAAATTGAAACTTGACTTCTTTTAGAAAAAAAATTATGTTTAAAACATCCTGAAGATCTAACAGAAGCTGAACAAGATCTGTAGCTCTGCATATGTTCACATATTACAGCATCCACAAATCTACTAAAAGAATAAGCTGCTGAGTAGATCTAATTCAAATTTATGTCCACGATGCAAATAGCTTATACTTTCAGTAATCAGACTTTAGCAACACTAAGATAATCTGATTTTTCACGGATCATTAACTCATAGCAGTTAACACAGAATTTGGTTGTATATCAGTGTAGATCACTTCTATGCCACAGTTTGATTTCTCATATAATGAATGGTTATACTCAGAATGCAACTGCTTTCAACCATTCAATCACTTTTTCCTCAACAATGACATCTATCAATGATACTTGCACCTGACTTTCAATTTAATCATGGTCTTTTCAAGTGCACAGTATGCAGCTGCTCCAACAACAAAATATGTGGGATAGACTCCATGCCACTCAAGCAAGCAATTTGTTTATTTCTTTATGAAAATGAAAATAACAATAAGCAATAGACAGGTATTTATCCTCATATAAAGAAAAAGCTCTTCAAACAAAGTTTGTCTTATGTGACACGTGATTCTACCCCTTTGCCTTAAAAACATGCAGTTCCTTCCCCCCCTCAACAATAAGGAAATCTTACATTCAAAAAAGCAGGCAAATTGTATGGAAAGCTGTTGTATTCCTCTTCTCAGAGCAAAGAAGTCTAGATACAAATTCAATACCACATGGAAGGGAAAGCTAACAATTCTCTAGAAATGGACAAAATACTGTCCACTCTCAGGTAACTCCACAGAAGGGGACTGAACTCGAGAAAGAAAAGTTTAGCTTATATGTGTGAAGAGTAATCCAAACCCACTAAGTATTTTCTTTAAGTGTTCTAGAATGAATATTCTGTCTCTCTGCAAGGCCATAATAATGTCAGCTACTAGCCTTCCCTGTTTTCTTTAAAAATGAATGAAAACTGAGTGGCTGCCACTGTAAGGCCTTATCCAACCCTTTACCTGTAGCAACATCGACTAAAAACTAAAGAACTTACAAAATAACTGTTTGACTTTAGAGAATGAAAAAGTGAATATTTCACAGGATCACAATGTGAACACAGAAACACCAAATGAACATACCTCTTTTTTGGTAAATGCTATTAGAACAGTAAGTAGCACCCGGGTAAACTTGACTCTGCTGAACACAGCTAAACACTGTTGATGCTGTAATAAAAAAATACTGCAAATTACTAAGCAAAATGCATTAAATACTGAAACATTAAAAAAAGCCTTTACAGATTTATTATCTCTCTAGTCTTAAAAATATGTATCTAGTATGATTCTGAAAAGTTATATAATTTATAGAAGAAATCTGTACTGCTGTCAGAAAAGCACTAACACAAAAAATACCCAGATACTTTGGGTAAAGCACAACCACTGGCTGTATCGTTATCTCCTATGCAAATGCCATTCAAATCTCAGCTTAAGTGAACAATCAGCAATTATTACACTGATTTTCTCTCCTTTTTGCTGTACATCTATGTTAAAAGAAATTTCTGAAGAAAAAAAACATTACTGGAAGGGGAAACTCAAACTCTTCTAAATCAACCACATCAACTACATCAATTATCGCTTCTTCCTGGAAGGAGCTATGCTGCTTTCACCTTTTCTTCATACCTTCTCCCTTGACAGTGAGGTTGTCAGCAGCAGTGAAAGCTGCTGGGAAGGAACTGAGGGAAGAAGGTACAGGATGGATAAGACCACCTACTTTGCTAATGGCTTTTTCTTGAGCGGTAAACAAACCGCACCACTGCAGCAGCATCACTATTCTGCCGATGGGATCAATTCAGAACTCTAGCCCTTCAGAGCATAAAAAGCCTACCTGGTCACGGCCACGTTTAGAGCAGCTTAGATATGAAAGTAGTAGCAACATTGGTGACACACATTTCTCACAAGCCGGTAACTACTGATCAAAGTAATGCTGTGCTAATCCATGAAATTCAGAAGAAAAAGTAAAAACTTAATTACTTCAAGTTCAACTTCTGGATCTCTCTCTTCTCCTTGTCGACTTCGAGTGCTCTAGTAGGTAAAGGAATTTCAAATAATTTATTAAAAATTGCAAATGGAAGATACTGATAAAATCCCTTTATCCTCTCCAGAACATCCATCTGTTAAATAACCCTAAAAATCAGTTCTCAAGTTCAAAACCTCTTAATATACAATCTAGATACTTGTATGATCCAAGACTCTCCTATAATAACGAGACCTATCTCAGTCCACTTGGTAAATATGGAAGGACACTGTATGAACAATTTATATTGTAAACTGTGGTAAAGTGACTTCTTTAACATCACATAGTACATCTGAGTACGAGCCAGAAGTTAAATGCATACTTTCTGTGCCCCAGCCCAGTGTTATCTTCTACATCATGATTCCACCTATTGCTAGTGAAGAGTTTAGAAAAGTCTGAAGACCTCACCGTCTTTAGCCAGAAGGCAAACTACCAGCATCTTACACAAACCGTTACGGGAGTTCTAAAAAAACCCCACACCATTTAATGACCTAATGACCTATGTTAAGTACACTTGAAGTATAATTGACAAGACAAACATGAGAAAAATACCTTCACTCGTCTTTGCATGTCATCTTCTACATCTTTTAGCATACCTGGAAAAGTCACAGTATAGTTAAAAGCTGAGAAGCATTCCTAGGTACACCTACATCGCTCAGGGGAAAAATGTTTTGAGGGGACATCAAGTTTTGAAGTGCTTTACATACCATTAGCCAAAGACTAGACAAAAAATAATCTTGTGAGGGATGGTGGGCATGTCTTGCAACAATAGATAAATGAGTACAGACTGACTGATCCAAATATAAAGTGTTTACAAATTTTCTTGAAATAAGTCAATGAAAAGCTCAAGTATGTATCAAAAATAGTGCATCAAAAAGCTCACATACATACTTATGTATGTACCTAATAACAGAAGTATTCATAGCTTTAGAACAGGCTGCTTTTTTCTCAAAAGCAATCTGTTTAGATCACAACAAACTGCGAGGCAGAGAAGCAGAATTCAAGCAGCACACTTTCCAATGGTTTGTATGTATCTCAGACCTGGATGAGCTCATGCCCAGCCACTTAGCACATCTAAGAGCAGTTATTCTGTTTCTCAGGCATTTAACAAATAAACAGCTAAAAGTTTTCTTCAAGGAAAAATAATTTGATCTCTCTTTTTACCAAGCCAACAATTTTCACAAAACTAATAAAAATCCTTAACATCTGAGACTCCTACCAATTCATTAGGTTTGGTTGAGAGTAACCAACATGACCAAAAGACACAGAGACTGATGGACAGATACATAGAAAGAACAAACTGTACCTGTAACTCTAAGATCTGTCACACTGTTGGCCATTTTAAATCCATAAGTCATTGACTGAAAATCTTCCTAAAAAAACAAAAATCAAAGAAGCAATATGTAGTGAAATATAAACAGTAGTAGTTACATTTTCAAGTTGGGGTTTCTTTTTGTTTGTTTTGGGGTTTTTTGGGATGTTTTCTTGTTGTGTTATTTTTGTGTGGGTTTTTTTTTTTGTTAGTGGTATTTTTGTTTAACTATTCCAAGTATAAAAGTCCAGTTTTATTCTGCAGAACTGAATAAACCCATGGTTTGGGTGACTTTCTTGATGAAATCCAGCTTGGGGTAATTACTTTCTGCATAAATCCTTAATACCAGGATGCCTTTCAAGAACTTCTGTTACAAGAACTATGGATGCAAAGTACTATTTAATCGATTTTAGATATAGTCAGTAAGAAGTGACTGGTCCAAGCTCAGAGGAAACAAAAATTGCTCTAAGCACAGAAGAACAGACTCTGATTCCATTGCTAGATGGACATTTCAGACAAAAAAGACAATCATGGTAATCTGAAGTAGAAAAATAAAAAAAAATCAAACAGGAAGAAAACCACAAGTAAAACTGATTTCAAATGGTTAGCCACAAGACTTGCATTGCTTCTTGAGTAAAATATTTATATGATTCCAATACTCAAGCAAAATACAGAAAAGAGCATGCAACACCTTCATGGAAGAAAACTGCATTTTAAGGAGATCAAGACCAATACTTTGAGGAGGATGATGCTCCTCATACAGTATCCTCGAATCAAACAGTAATAAATTTATCTAATATACTGTTTTATTTGCATGATGGAGCCTACGTACAACGTTACATATTTAACCACAGGAGATACTGAAACACATACCTCCTCAAAAACAGCTGCTTTGTTGACCTTTTCTCTGGCAATATCACAAATTTTTAGGATCCCTAGAGCAAAAGCTTTCATAGCAGGATCTTCTATGAAGTCTGGATTATGAATATAAAGGCAAGTGAATACTGTCTGTGCCAAGGAATGTCCTTCTAACCATGTTATCTAGGGAAAAAAAGATTAAATGTTTTACTCATGACAGCCAAGGCCTCATTTTTATATCTCCATTCTTTTTCCATCTTACTAAGCTTCAGTGAGTCATTAAGGCAACCTTCCATGTAGCAAAAAAGAGCAAGAGAAGGTCTCTCAACCTTTAATCTTTGTCCATCTGCTGGCTGTGGCAGGCAGTAAGTTACTAAACCCTGTAACACCACCAAATTCTGGTGTTGGATAAACCTTTTCCACAAAGTTCAGGTCCAATCTCTGTGACTTAGACATGACATTAAGTTAAGAGACCATCGGATTTTTAAGCTTCCTCTATATAAATACTGAATGAAAAATCCAAGTGGCTAGGAAACAACTCAGCAATATTCTGCATATTCTCTTCTACAATTTACAGCTTCTTTTCACAAACCCCTCTACTACTTTCATGCTGCTTTAAGTTACAGGGAAAGCTTCAGTAATTTAAACAATTATTTCTATCTTGAAATAGCATAAAACACAGTAGGATTAGATTTTAAATAGGACCACTGACCCTTTCAAACAAAAGTCAGTATTTGGCAGGGGGGAAGGCAGAAGACGAATTATGTTACATTACATCAAATATACAGTGACCTTTACATGTCTTTTTGGACTAAACTATTTTGAAATATTTTTTTAAAAACTGAAGTAACTTTACTGATGTCATTTTAAAGAGTAACTGAAAATAATTTGTATCATTTACTGAGGAAATTAAGGCATTTACATAGAAAAAAACCACAATTAACAAATAACTGATAATTCACTTATTTACTTTCTAAATGGATCTAGGTATTTTCTTTTCTTTCTTCAAAATGCCTCTGTAAGCTCAGTCAATATTGGCTGTACAGAAATGAGCAGAGTGCTGTAAATTACTACACACTTATTTTCCAATGCAGCCAAACACCAATATACAACAGGCAGTCAGATGCCATACATTTAAAAAACACAAATTATACAACCTTTTTACATTATTCAAAATGTTACCAGTTCTCTTCCATAATGATTTCTTATAATAAAATAATCGAAGAATCAAAATGATGCCTCTTATAATACCCAATGCAAATATCTAAATGGAAATTAAAATACTAAGTATTTATTTTCTGCCTAGTGAATCTTTTTTTCTTCAGTTCTACTATTTTTTCTCAAGCCGGATTAAAGGATTATATTTTGAAAGCAAAACCATCTAATGTTAAGAGCAGAGAAACACTTACCAAACAACAAAAACATGTATCCATTATTCCTACCAGCTCAGGTGAAGTGAGATCCTTGATTTTAATGGTGCCATCCTTAGAAAACAAAGAAAGAAAAAAACCTAAAGACTATGGAAGTCTATAGGCAAAATACAACTTATTATTTGTACAGCCAAAAAAGAAATTACAATGTGGGTAAGACTTCAGAATATTTGTTACCACTTGCTTTATTCATCACCTTCATAACATGCCTCAAATTCTAAAAAACTTTGCTTTCCCATCATTGCGTTGAACACTGACCAAACATAAAGCTATTCAAAGACAAAGCTAAAACAAAATTTCTGGTTTATGAGTAGCCAGTAAGTTTAAAATCAGTTAACTGTCAATACTTAAATCACAAAACAATATGTATACTCATAATAAAGATTGAACAAGGAATAATATGCAGGACACATTCTTTGAAGACTGTTTTTTACACTGCATATACTTATACAGTTTTACTGCCTTCAAGGTCAGGACCAAGAAGGCAGCAACCCTACTTCTTTCAATTTTTTTGTCCGATGTATGCAATTCTGCATACATTCTACATGACTTAGATGGCCAGTATTTTACACAAAGCTCTCTTAGTCCATTCAAAACAAGGTCCACAGTAAAAAATATTTTTCCTCTGTGAGTGCATTATTTTTTCCAAATTAACAGAAAGCCTTTCAACCTCCTTCCACCAATTTATCCTGACCATGCATCAAAACTTAATCATTACTGTCAACTGTGTCAAATTAGCCAGCTTCTGTTCAATACTAACGAACTGATAGTCGTACAAAGTGTTAATTTCCAGCTTTTGTAAGGAAGCTGGTTTCCATTCAGCTTAAAGAGGGACTAACCAATACATCTTCATACAAAAGACACATTTTGGGGAAGCACAGGGTAACTTGCAAAACCATTTCTGAAATTTATTTATTTGAGGTATCAATACTCAACAATTTCACAGTACTTTTCACTGGAAGAGTTAGCAACTTTGTGATAATGTAGGTAACAAAAAAGGTAAAGATCACAAGCTATTTCTTACTTAACTATCCAAAATAAAAAAGAAATAATCAATTTTAAGTAAAGATTGAAAACATTATGTTGAATTGTGCTTAACTGCAATTTGATAAAACTATATCATACTTTTACACACAGTGTAGGCAGAAACAGGAGAGTCACACAAACCTTAATAGCTTGCTCAAAGTTAAGAACCTTTCTATTAACTTGGTTTCCAATCATACCAGCATCCATCTTGGGATCCATCATTTCAATGGCAGACATGGCTTCAAAAAGACCAAAACTAAGAACACCAATAAAAAAAAATGTTCTGAATGTAATTATTTTATACAAAACTATCTTCACAAACCAATGTAAAAGAACATACGATGACAACCTGAGTACACTGTATTCTGATTAAAGACAATAAGGTAAGGTATGTGAACATCACTACCTATCTTTAGAGATTGTGGTTTTCAGGAATTTGAGGATCTCTGAACAAGTAGGTAAGAAAATAGATGTCTAAAACAAAACTCTTAGCCTTTTCTTAAAGATGAAGAACGCTCCTGAGCCAAATATCTATTACTAACTCTATCCACACTTCTTTCTATACACCTCACAATGACATAGCATCTTTTTGAAGATCACATAACATGATAAACTGATAATAACTGAAGAAGCTGTTCTTTATTACGCTACATCCAAAAACCCAAGTAAGACATGTCCCTCACAAACTAATGACAGTATACATGATGCAGACTGACAACAGTATACATTGAATATAGAAATTTTGTTTAAAATGGGCACGTTAAGAAAACTGATACAAAAAAACCCCAGCATGTGACAATGGATCACTTGTAGTTGGAGCATAAAAGCTTGCAGGATAACCACACCAAATGAACACTGGCCTACAGAAGAAGGGATATAGTGCATCACCTTTGGTACATATGGTATTCATGAGAACTGCTGCACAAGCCTTTATTATATAAAAAAGGTTATTGCATGTGGCACAGTCTAATTCTGAAAAGCATATTTGCTCTGAAATGCTCCTATGTATAAAATTATACCTCAAAAACGTGCTTTCATTCTAATGAGTAACTGCTTGGTGACATCCTTGCGTATGTTTTTAACCAGGTTTGCATTTAATAGTGTGCTTCTGTTTTCTGAGCTATTAGTCTTAAATAGGCAATTTTTTCTTCATGCAAGTGAACAGCCTCGTGTGGCTAAACATTGTTTTATCTTTAAAACATTTTAATCTCACATAATTCTTTAATAAATTCACTAAGATTTTAGCACATGGGTTGTTTTAGAAATGTATTTTTCCTTAATCTGTAGAGCTTTCTGTTTCCATCTTAGCATGTCATGTAGGAGTTATGTTAAAGCATGTGCATTTTTATCCTAAACTTGTTGGCGACATTTGAGGCAACTAAATTTAAAAGCTTAGAGCCTTTCTGGCACTTTTTTTATAAAAGCATGTCCACATAAAGTAGTTAAGCAGGATCAGCAGTTTCAATACCACTGACCATGAAATGCGTTATAGACTTCTAAACTACACTGATTAACTGAAAATATAATGTTATACTGGCACCATGAGAAATGTTCAGCATTCATACAAGTGCATTACATACATACTGCTGAGGATGAATGAGATTCTGAATACTTTGACTTTTTTATTGAAAGTTTAAAAAAGCTTAGGTGATACTGCATGATTTGCTTATTAGTAATGATTAACATATTTGAACTAATCCTGTCTAAAAATCAGAACTATCCCACAGGCATACTTACAGCTTGTCATGAAGCAGTTCTCCTAACTTCAGTTCTACAAAGGAACAGAACAGGATAAATAATTACAATCACCCTTCTAGCGCAACTGTTCCAGGGTAGTCTTGTCACTCACCAAACTGAGAGAACAAGGTGCTAAGAGAGAACAAGGTGTGGGAAGCAGATCAGACATTTCTACTCCACCTTCGTTTCCTTTTACTTACAAAGCACTTTCAAGACTGAAGGCTAAAAAACCCCAGTTGTTCACAGTCTTTCCTTATCCCTCTCTGTCATTCCAACAGTTAAAGGCATTTTAGTATTATCGAATAGTAGCATCTGAATAGCATGGAACACAGAAATGTTCTGTGCTCCTTTATGCAGGTGTCTAATTTTTTCCAGGAGAGTTTACTGAAAGGCTTGCCTTTCCTCATTACTTTTCATGAAGATGTATTTGATAGATACACAAACAGTATATTCCTAATATACAAGCATAAGGACAGCATAAGGAAATTGTGTTTATCATTATGTAATATTGTGTGTGGTAAGTTGCAGGTTTATATTTATTTTTCCCTAATGTCATTATAAAATCAGTTGAAAAAATAAAGTCACTGTCATGGTAAACTAGCACCAATATCTTACAATAACAAAGGCACTGTTTAAATGGAAGCAACTGCTTCCCTGTGACCAGGATGCACTGCATCTCCTCAGAAGCTCAACCTTATTTCAAAATGACAAATGATGCACTGACCAATTAAATAATAAAACATTGGAACCTATAGATCCAAAAATGTAGAGGAAAAGACAGAGTGTTGATTCTGCATGGATGAATGAGATTTCCATTTGGCGGAAGAAATAGGAAGATATCTTTGCAAAGAAAAAAGCAGGTGTAAAGATGTGTAAGACGAAAAAACATAACTTAAAGATATTTATGTAATCTGGAACAGTAAGCAAGGTGAGGTTCTTCTGGTATTTCCAATCTCACAGTTCAGTTAAACACAGGGAAACACAGAATCAATGTAATCCATTCATCTGGAGCTTGAAACTGCGTCAAACTATCGTTTATAAACATCTCAAAGAACTATGCTTAGTCCTCCAAAGGATTCCAAGTTTTCTCAGAACACAAGCGGTACAACTCACCTCTACAAGCTTCTTCAAAATCCTGGGTTATATCTATCCAGCTTGTATTACTCTTTTCCATCTTGTCAGGCATACCGAGTTCCCATCCTGAATCATCATCTTCTACTGAAGCTTTCATAACCATGATACTGCACCTTTAAATCCGTATCAGAGACACTACACATTATGCACAAATTAGAGGAAGTGCTTCACAGGAGTAATTTTTCTTTTCGAGAATTAGGTGAGAAAGGGAGACTAACTAACCTGATTTCATTTAAACAGTTGCTGTTACATAAAAACAACCCAAAAAACGTATTAATGAACATTATTTTTAAAAATGGGGTTTTATCCATGACTTCTCTACAACTAGCTTGTAGACTATGAAACCTGAAACACTAAGGACACCAAAACTTTAGCAGTACAGCGCCATAATGAAGCGTGTACCGTCAAATTGAAAATAAAACGGGAAACAATGTCAAGAAATCCTCTCTTACAACAGATACAGATACCACAATTTTTTGTTGTTGTTTTACACTATTAGAAATACACGTCCTCCCACTGCTATGAAAGAAATTAAAAAGACAGAACCGTAAAACTGACCACAAGCAAGTTTGTTATTTGTACAAAGTGTATCCAAATTTGTGAAAATGGGCATACTTCCTCCGACTTCTTCAGCAGGAAGTAATATCAAGATTACCGCAGCAATGTTATGCAACTGCAGACTGGAACAGAATTTGTAAACTTCATCAACTACTTATTTCGAACTACTTTCGTGCTTTCACGATCTCATGATACACAGGGCTGCTCTGAAGCATTTTATGTTTTGCCAGTCTGTCTGCTTTTGAGGTACCAGCAATGCTAATATCTAGTCGGAGATCTCGCAAGAGACACCTACGAGCCCGGCGAGCTCTGAACAGCTTAATCAAAGCCGCCACCACAGAAGCTTTAAACAAAGGCCCCCGTCACAGGAGACCTCCCAGGCATCGGCAATTAACAAAAAACGAAAGGGTGGGGGATCAAACGGATTTTGGAAACTAGTCCAGGAGCCCTTTCGCCCAAGCAACGCTCGGCTCCCCTTCGCCCCCTCCCCGTCACCATGTCACTAGTTTTCACGCGACCACAGGGACTGCCAGGCTCAGCGGGCTGGGATGAGGAAATACGTGGGAAGCTAATTAAAATAAATGGAAATTACGCCTGAATTTCAGACAACGCCAGCACAGCCAGACCCTCCCCGGCTCTCCCCTTCCCGCA